AGACTCGACGGCATCGCGAGAGACCGATTAAACCCAGGCCATTCAGATGTTACGAGCTCCGTCGGCTATGAATATCGAATTCTCGTTCCGCCCGGTTGACCTTTTCTCGTCGTTGAATGCCGCCTCCGTCCGGGTGGGGAGGCGTTTTTTTTTTATACGTTTCCTCTTCATTAAAAGAGGCGCGCGGGAGGGTACGAGAGACCCCGAGACGACGACGGCGACGACGTCGTCGACTGGCCACTTGCAGATTGCAACGTTCAGAAAAACTGGAGCTTTTTAAGGATCCTTGATCCTCGGTGAGGTCTCGTCCCACTCTCGCAGCACCGCGATTTCATCGTATTCCGTTGAATACAACTATTGTTCAGAGCGAACGATCGGTTTGAAACCGCGAAACGCTCCGGATAGAACCCCCGAACCTCTCTTCTACCGGCTTAGACGTTCAACCGGAAGCTCGGTTAAGAGCGGAGAGAAAAAAGAAACGCGTCCTGTCTGGACTAGAGACAGCCGCGCGCTCGCCGATTTGCCTCGTCAAGGAAGAACGGTTCTCGTTGCCTCTTCTTACTCTTCCACCCGTAATTCCTCTCAATCCTTCCGTCACTCCAGGCACGCAACTAACAGGTCTACCTCTAAAGAGTTCACCGTTCAGGACGCGTTCATTTTCCCTGATCCTTAGCTTGCTTGCACGCGTCAATCTCCGGTTTCGTAGCTCGCCACACACGTAGCCCGCGGTGCAGATGGGAAAGAGAGAAGAGGAAGAGAGAGAAGCAGCATCTCTGCGAGATGCAACAGTGCCGGGTTCGGGATCTTATAAATAGCGACGGTGGCGTGTGCGTCGGGGTGCTAGCAGTTAACAAACGGTAAAACTAACACCGCCTCCTACAATAACATTTCGCTCCGGTCACGTGTTTTCCGCGGCTCGACTATTATAAGATCCACGACTGTCGTCGTTGGCCTCCCTTCTTCGTGCTCGCGGCCTCACTCTTCTTGGTTAACGCGTTAGCCTCTCTGTTCGCGTCGTATTCGCTCGTCACGTACTTCTTCTCTCCTATGCTCGGCCTGCTCGCGTTCTTCAACGTTCCACCTTTCAATCCCACCTTCTTCTTCTTCCCTCTACTCCCCTTTCTTTCCCTTTTTCCCCGGCGAGATATCTCGAGACGCGCGCGAGGCGTGCCAATCGAGACGACGACGACGACGACGACGAGTCCCTTTTCTACAAGGCTCGTTCTCGTTCTCTCTCTCTCTCTCTCCTCCGAGCGAGTTTCTAAGCGAAAGGATCTAGCCTGGTTGCGGACGTTGATTTATGCAGCAGCCACCTGAACCCCGCGCCCTTCGTATTCGTTAAGACCAGCAGACAGCGGAGGACGGTCTTTTCGGCGACCTCTCTTAACGAACGAATCAAGATTCGGTCGGGCGGGTGGTTATGCAAATACGAGCGGGTTAGATCGTTCGGAACGGTTCGCGTTATATAATGTTATGCTACAGCCGGACGCGATGTCTGTTTTTTTTTCCCCCTTTTTTTACGAGGAGAATCCCATCTCATCGAGCTTAATTAGGACCACCGTTAGGGACCCTGAGATTGAACACGTTTTTGTTCTGACCGGAGATACGAGTATATATTTAGGGGAGGGGGATGGATGATGATGGGGCGAGATAAATGACACTCGAGGGAGAGATTTTTGGTTTTTGTTCAACGTTTCCTTTGCACGGTTTTTTTTTTTTTTTTTTTTTTTTCTATGAGTAGGTGATGTATGAGGGGTGTACTGTGTGTAATAAAAGTTGCCGGAGGCGGAGTTTCATAATTTATTGCGATGGATTGGGTTATCGACCCTGTTTTTCGGCAAGTTTCTGTTTGTTATACCCTGCGAGAGTTTGTCGCGTGTGAGACTCGGACAGAGCGTGAAATATCTGACTGTTAACTCGAGAGAGACTAAGATTTTTTTCACCGTAATTGGTAATTTTATCAGACTGTCAAGGGGTTAAATATAGCAAAATTTGTTTCTTCTGATATTTTACGTAACTCAGCAGAGTTGTACCGATTTACGAAGTTGTCGCGATTTTCTTTCTACCGACTTCCATTTCGTTCTAATTAATTATTGAACTCGGACTCTGGCAATTTTTGCACTTACCCATACGTCAATATCTCTGTAAAGTAGCCAGTGTGGAATTGATGTGTCGGTGTATTTGGTTAAATGGTGTGAAATGGGAATGTAGTCGGCAGTTTATCAGCTCGCTCTGCTTACGAATACGAATTAGGCAACGTAAACCGGATTCGAGGAAACGTGGCTTACGGAGAAATTGAAAGATAACGGCGCGTTAATGTCTGTCCATTAACCTAATTGATACGCATACATTGTATGCGCCGGCTAAAACACTTGTTGTTTGGACAGCGTAGGTGGCACACGCATTAACGGGAAATGTGCTAAAATGTGCACCAACGGGAAAAAATTACGCGCGTTATTCCGGAATATTTTCGAGCTCGTTCTACGTTTCGTGTTAAATGAACGAGCTCCGGTGTGGTTGCAATTAAACATTCTTTAAATCACTCGAGTACGTTTCTACAGTAGCCCGCGTATTATTTAGCTATAACGAGGGTGAAAAGCTTTTATCACACAGGGCAATATCAAATTATACCGTGCGTCGCAAGTGTGCTGATGAAATAATGGAGCAAATTTGAAATTAAAATAGCGTTGGAAGCGGTAATTACAAGACACACTTCCGTTCATAAATATCAGATCGTTAAACAGTCTAAACTAAATTATTCGACCATTTTTGCCATGGGGTGCTAAATCTAGCAAAGAAACGGAATTGAAACGTAACGGGTGTCAAACTTGTTCCGCAATTACACACGAAGAATAACGAAATACGTGGCGTTCTCTGTTCCAGGCCGGAGTGATGCGACCCACGCAAGAGTAAACTCAGCAAGCAGAAAAAATGGGACTCGTTCGACGGACGAAGCTGCTTCCAAGCCGAACGATGGCTTCGTTGTTGCCGTTGCTGTTGCTCGCAGCATTGCCGAACGCTCGATTAGAATCAGCGATCAATCCAGTGAGTAGCGTGGGCTCTGTATCGAGCGGTTCCTCGTCATCCTCTTCATCCGCCTCCTCGTCGTCGATGGTGGGCGTCGTGTCTGGCAGTGGCTCGGCTTCTGGGAGCATGGTAGGGTCTGGAAACAGCGTGGTTGGGGGTGGCGGCGGCGGCAGCGGCGTTGGACACTCGTCTCTGAGCGGCGGAGCGGCTAATGGAAACGGCAGATGCGAGGAGATCACGATACCGATGTGTCGAGGAATCGGGTACAATCTGACGGCGATGCCGAACGAATTGAACCACGACAATCAGGAAGAGGCTGGTTTGGAGGTTCATCAGTTCTGGCCGTTGGTAGAGATCAAATGTTCGGTAGATTTGAAGTTCTTCCTTTGTTCCATGTACACGCCGATCTGTTTACCGGAGTATACGAAACCTCTGCCGGCGTGTAGAAGCGTTTGCGAGAGGGCACGAGAGGGTTGCGCGCCGTTGATGCAACAGTACGGGTTCTCGTGGCCGGAAAGAATGGCGTGCGAAAGATTACCGGCTCACGGTGATCCGGAAAATCTGTGTATGGAGCAGGACAATCATACGAGCAGCACTGGATACGGTTCTGGTAACGGAGGAGCTGCAAGTAGCGCTCCGTTACCAGCCGCGGCGCCACCGCGTCCGACGAGGCCGTCGAAGACGATCCAACCACCGCGGTGCAAGCCAGGCAAGAACCAAAAAAACTGCCAACATCCCCCGGGGGACAGGGCGAGGGAATGCGCGTGCCGGTGCAGGGCACCCCTCGTACCCCTGGGGGCGGGGGGCACGGTCATTCCGGGACCGATAAGCGGCAGCAGCACCGGCAGCATAGGCAGCGGGGCTGGTCTGGCGGGCATGGCCGTAAGTGGAGCCATGCCGGCACCACCGATAAGCATCGCGCGGAACATCATGCAGGACATTGCCGGAGTACCGAATTGCGCACTCCCGTGCCACGGGGCGTTTCTCACCCCCGAAGAGCGCGGCTTCGCGGCCGTTTGGCTGGCTCTGTGGAGCGGCCTGTGCGCCGCAAGCACACTCGTGACCGTCACCACGTTTCTAATCGACACCCAGCGCTTCAAGTATCCTGAGAGACCGATAGTGTTCCTGTCGGCTTGCTATTTCGTCGTGTCGGTCGGCTACCTGTCGAGGAGCGTGTTCGGCCACGAGGAGATCGCCTGCGACGGACCGGCGCTGAAGTCAGGAGCACAGGGCCCGGGAGCTTGCGTTACGGTTTTTCTAATGATCTATTTCTTCGGCATGGCGTCCTCGGTATGGTGGGTGATACTGGCGTTCACGTGGTTTCTCGCGGCGGGGTTGAAATGGGGGAACGAGGCGATAGCCTCGTACTCCCAGTACTTTCATCTGGCGGCATGGCTGGCGCCTACGGTGCAGACAGTCTCGGCGTACGTGGCCGGGGGAGTAGCTGGGGATCCGGTCGCGGGGGTTTGTACGGTAGCGCCGGAAGGGGTACGGTCGTTCATTCTGGTACCGCTGTTCGTTTACCTATTACTGGGAACGAGCTTCCTTCTGGCGGGATTCGTCAGCCTGTTCAGAATTCGTTCGGTGATCAAACGGCAACCGGGAGCGAAGGCGGACAAACTGGAGAAACTGATGATACGTATCGGCGTGTTCAGCGTTCTGTACACGCTTCCAGCTGGAGTGGTGTTGGCCTGTCACATGTACGAGACCGCGTTAAGAAACGAGTGGCTCGCTTCGTTGGCATGCCCATGTCGATCGAGGGCAAGACCTCTCTACTCCGTCCTGATGCTCAAGTACTTCATGGCGCTCGCGGTAGGCATCACGTCAGGCGTGTGGATTTGGAGCGGCAAAACCGTCGACTCGTGGAAACGTCTCTGGAGGCGCTTGTTCGGCGGAGGGAGCGCAGGAGGCGGTCACGGAGGCGGTGGCGCCGGTATGGTAGCAGGCGTGACAGGCGTCAGCGGAGGCATCGGCAGCACCAGCATCAAGGGCGTCGTAGGGCGTGTAGGAGTGCCATATCCACCGGCACCGGGACCTGGCAGCGCTTTACTTCCGCCTGGAAGCGTGGCCAGCGCCTCTCAACATCATCTCCATCATCACGTCCTCAAACAACCCCCTCTGTCGCACGTATGACGTCACCAGTCGGCGGGAGGCGACATGAACACCGCTGGCTGCGAGCAGCAACAGCAACAACAACAGTCGGTGCAACAAGAGAGGCCTTCCGCCCTTAGTAACTACGGGCCCATTTAGCCCTTCGCCTCGGCCTCGCGCAGGCACACGCCGCATACAGCGCCGCATACGGCGCCACATACGCCACACTCCGCGGCCACCATATACTCGAGGAGATCGCTGGCGTCGACTACGGGCCCGCTCACGCCAGCACACGGACTCGCGCCCTCTTACACCCAAGCCACCGAAGTATAAATCGATTTAACCGATATAGCAAGCTCGATGTCCCTGTAGCTCTATGACGCTGATTGAAAAACAAACGAGGAAAAGAAAGAAAGAAAGAAAAGGGGTCGAGGAGGGAGCGTGCGTATTTTGGTACCGGCCGGCGTGTTGTGGCTCTATTCACGACGCATCGAAACTTCGTCGATGACTCGCGACGGTGCTTCTCGATTACCCGATATACGTATTAACCCGTACGTGTCTTTGCCGCGGGTCTCGAGTCGTCTCACATCCCCCCTGTCCCTCTTCGTTCAGTTTTACATTCGAAAATTCCACGGTGAAATTCGTAAATCGGTGAATCGGTGTCTCGCGAGAATATTCTCAATTCGAATCGAAACGGAAACATTACGCGCCAATGGACGTAGTAACGGACCCTCGCAGCGTCGACACCAGAGGGCGACAGTTTCGAAAATGGCGCTCGAGACCGGCCGGTCTAGTGAGATTGTGATTTCGGTGCGTGGATGAGAATTATTAGTAGTGTGACGAGAGAAAGAAATAGAGTGAATCGCGCGAATGAGACTGTGTGACAGATATTCTCTCTTATTCGTATCTATCTGTAATCTTTCTTACTTATATACCGTAGCGGAGCTCGTACAGTCCGCATGTCCGTCTAACGTGTATCGTCTCGTCTATTTATCTAACCTAGCCATAACTGAAATATAGGTGTAAAACACGGATTTTCTAGATGTCGTTGCGACAGGTTACGGCGGTGCCCCGGCATTCCAAAACGCGCGATTTTGTATTTTCATACGGTATATGCTCGCTAGTCGAAAAGTGTTGCAGCGAGTGATGTCTATATTTCGGACAAGAGGGGAGTCATCACAGGCAATGAAAGTACTGGTACACGAATACAGGCTCACCGCCGTTGATCGTATGAAGTACGACGAGCAAGTGTATAGCACAGACGTACGGTGGAAGGAGGAAAGGCGGAGAGAACGAAGCGAGGTAAATGTAAATATCATTCTTAGATATTAGGTAAAACGCTGTAAATATAAAGTGAAAAAGAGGAAAGAAAACGATCATCTAAAAAAAGAAGAAAAAAAAAACGATTTATCGGTCGACACGAGACATACGGAGATGTACAGATGCGAGCATGCGCAGTCGCGACGGTGGCGCGTTCCTTTATTCGCACATACATAACCTAGTCCGTGGAGCTTTCAATTTATCTCGAATCTTTCGGACGAAAGAAGAACGATCGTGTTTCGTTCGCGTATGTGTTACGAAAAATTGACGAAACTCGCGTTAAAATACTCGGTGCAATGAGTAATACGGTGTAACGAGCGATAAATAACAATGGGAGTGCTATAAAAGGAAGCTCCGAAGGAGCCGCTAGTCTTGCCACGGGCGAAGGAACGCGTCGAGCAAAGCGTATATGCGTCGAGTAAAAACGTATGTTTACAGTACGTATACATACGTTGAAACATGATTTCACGTGTCGAACACATCTTTTTTTTACTGCCGAACGAAGCCCCCCCTTAAACGTAGCAGCAACACAAAAAGAACAGAGGTAACACGATTCCAACCGACACTTGTTTTTTTTGTACCTTGCATGGCTTTTCGTCTCTATGAGAGAGAGACTCGAAGCCATGCTCATACGCACATGCGCATTCCGTCAGTACATACATACACACACATACAATACCGTACATACTCGCACGTCGTAGAAGGAAAGACAAGAAAAAGTTCTGTGTACCCTGAGAGAATAAATTGTAGGTGAAAGAAAGAAAAAAAAAAGAGTCAAGGCAATTCGTACACACGTTCGCGTTGTCTTCTATGCCACGTAATAGAGAAGTAAGTAGCTGTTGACACAGTACGAAATCGTATATGATCGTAGAAGCATGCGCGGGACCTCGCGTGAGCTTCTACGACGCGATGTCGATATCTCACAATTTTTATAATCGCTGGAGGAAAAAGGGGAGGATTTGAAAAAGTGAGGAACAAGAAAGATTAAGAAACGCGAATTCCTGGGGACCGCGTTTCTCTCTTATCGATACCCTCCTTTTCGTGGGACATGTCGACAGGGGCTCGATCGCGTGTGTGTGACCACGAGAGGTTAAGGATTCCCTCGACGCCATTGAAGCGGACGGCAAACGAGAGAAAGAAACCGTCTGTTACGTACTTTTTCCATTTCGCGTCAGTGGTTGAGCGGTTGGTTCTTTTCCTTTTTTTCTCATCGTGGTCGTGGCAATTTCGTCGGCTCACGCGATCGTGCCGCGAGATGTCTCGCGAGTGGAGCAGGTGGGAACGTGCGAGCGGGAAGAAAACGAGAAAGGAAAAGGAAACAAAAGGACTGAAAAACGATAACTGCCTCAAGCAATATAAAAACACGACCCGTATCGCATCCCGGACGGGAACCCCTGCCAAACGAAAACGTACACGTGTAATGTTGTAAAGTAGTGAGAGTAAAGAACCTTTAGTGTCACATATCACGCCAAGCCGTTACGAGCGAAAACGGACAATGTCGCGTTCGCGGACGACCAGTGACGAGAGAAAGAGTGCGCGCCGGTTGGAGCGAGAGAGATAGATGGAGTGACAGGCGTGGAAAAAAGGCGGGTGAACAGGATTGAGAGAGAAAGAGCGACAGAGTGCGCTGCCATCGCGATGGCAGAACGATTGATGCGAGACGGAAAAGAACGAACGCGACGTTAGAGAAACGAGAGGGAGGAGTTTATAACGAGTATTTGTAAGCCACTTTTTGTCACGATGATTGTCAATAAAATTGAAAATACTGTGTGTAACGAGTGTGTCCCGGAATTTCATTCACCGAGCTGGCTTGTTTGCTAGGTATGTTTTTCTTTCTGTTATTTGTTTTTGTTTTGTTTTTTTTCTCGTTGTTTTTTCTCGTACAAGGAAAATTCCTGTGATAGGGAAGGTTGGTAATTATCGAGAGTACATTCGAAATAACCCCGTCTCCCTCTACTTTTCTTTCGTACGTTTTCCTCGTTTTGCTTTTATGTCCTTTCCCTTGAAAACACTACGGATCTTCTGTTTGGTCCGATTTACGCTCGACCGCCATTTTTGTACAAGTTTTTACGTTGCCATAGTAGTTAACGAGTAACTGACGACCGATGAGCATATCGTTATATATACATATACTGAAATCAAAATTGTATACGATTTTTAATATACTTTATTATTATTTAAGTTCCTTGCGTTCATTGCTTGCTTATCCTTAGAGACTTCCTCTATCCTCTCGATTATTAATAGTGTCTCTTCTCTTCTCCTCATGCTTCTCTTCGTAGGTTTCCGTCCAAATTGATAGTGTTATTTAAAAAAAAAAAGTTATAAAAATGTGACGGTACTGCATGTATATTTTCTGTGTAGTAAGTAAAAAAACAGGTGGATGATTAATACCGTAACCGTAATTTTTCCAAGCATCAGAGAATAACAAACAAATCCTACGTCTCCGACGTACTTTATTTTTTAAATAGAATTCTTTGAGACGATATTTATATTTCTACCCTAAAAGACACTCGAGTCGTAATTATTTGACATGGGCTCATCTGTAGTAAATATTTCGTCCTTTAAATCATGCTTGAATATAAACAGGGGTCCCGGAGACGCGCACTTCAGTTTGTATAAAACAAAAAAGGCCCCTCCTGTTTAAGAGGTTCGAACAAGTGGCCACATTCTTCCGTCTGGCGGTGAAACAAAGTAGCCCGACCATAAGATGACGCCATAGAAAGAATTGAAACGCAAATGATGGCATTACGTGCTTGCATTATATTTCGTACTTATTCAATTTCTTACTAGATGCATTATGAAAAACCATTTATCCTCGACAACTGTTTTCCTCTATATACTTAAGAGCCTTATCGAACAATATAGAAGTCTTCGTATTCTTGTGAAAATGAACAAATAGTACTGTAGAATATTTAACGTGATATTAAGTGGAATAATTGTTAATGAAAAGATACTCCATGGGCACTTGCGTTGCAAAATTATAGAATATACATCTTTCTTCGCTTATCTTTGAAAGACCCTGCTCGAAATGGCCGGAATAAAATAAGCTGGGTCAAAGTTTGCTTCCGTAAAAGGGAATCGTAAACCCAAATGCCAGGTAATCTCTTAAAACCACCCTTCGCCATTAACACCTTAGAGTTTCCACATAGGCCATTTGGTAATTTTGTATAAAAGGGAAAATTATCGTGAAATTTTTCATATCGTTTAAATGGTAGATAATTACGTATAGTGAAATATTTTATGGACCATCGATGACCCACATCGCGTAATAACACGTTGTCAATTCGTTAGGTGACTTGCACTGTCGTTCATAATTATTAGGACACTCTATATGGTATCTATACTGCTTATTCACCATTTGAAACCATTTAAATTACGTGAAAAAATGTTCTGACGTTAGCATAGCTAGAGAAGATAATTAGGTGGCCTGTTTCAAGTGGCTCACCCCGCATAATGAATGCAATAACATGAACCATCGGTGGCCCACGTTGCCTGAATAGAAAGTTACGTGAAAGTGGCGTGGCACTTGACGTTTCAAAAGCTGCATGCCTAAAAAACACACTTCTCGTACATTACCCAAATTTCACGGTGAAGTCACATTAGCTTAACCAGTTCGACGAAAGGGTTAAGAAGTATCTTAGAGGCTCGAGAAATTTTTTTTATTAGGAACAAATTGCTTTAAAACTAGTTTTATCTATTAAATTTAAATGGAACTGCGCAAAAAAGGAAATTCAGGTGAAAGTGCGTCAACAGCACGGTACTAGAAAGTTCTCAAAGCGTTAACATCAATGAAAGGGTTAAGGAATACCTTAGAGGCTCGAGAAATTTATTTATCACTTAAAAAATCGTTTAAAAATTAGTTGCATTCAATTAAAATAGAAAGTGCGCAAAGGGTGAAAATACAGCACAGTAGGAGCAAATTTTCAAGTCATCAACAGCAATGAAAGGGTTAATAAATATCTCAGAGGCTCGAGAAATTTATTTATCACTTAAAAAATCGTTTAAAAATTAGTTGCATTGAATTAAAATAGAAAGTGCGCAAAGGGTGAAAATACAGCACAGTAGGAGCAAATTTTCAAGTCGTCAACAGCAATGAAAGGGTTAATAAATATCTCAGAGGCTCGAGAAATTTATTTATCACTTAAAAAATCGTTTAAAAATTAGTTGCATTCAATTAAAATAGAAAGTGCGTAAAGGGTGAAAATACAGCACAGTAGGAGCAAACTTTCAAAGCGTCTATAGTCGCCAATAGAGTGACGAAAGGGTTAAACAGGTCCATGTTTGAAACACCGGCGAAGACGAATAGGCGGAGTGACAGAAAATTTCCTGGACAGTCTGACGGATTGTTTATAACACCCCCCAGGTTAGGAGTAGTCGGGCTGCTGGAAATGAATGTAAACTCAGACGGTCCGTTTCACCCGTCGCTTAGAG